TTTGTGGCAGTTGTGAAGGGTGGTTAACGCTACCAACATGCTTTCTCATATACTTACAGAGCTTGCCATCTATGTGATGTGTCGCCACGATGTTCTGGCTATTGTTTAGGGCTTTCTGTTGTTTGTGCAGCGACAGGCAAAGCCTGAATACTCTCGGGCAAGGTACTGGCTGTTATGGATACCAGGACGATAGCGACGACAGTGAGGACGATGAGGTAGAAGACACAAGTATTATGAAAGCTCGAGCCAGACTCAAGCGCAATGCCATTGCTGTGACCACAGACGTAATCGGAGCAGAAAGCCTACTTAGGCGACACGGCGATGATCCAAGTTTACTAATGTACCACAGCAAGTGCTCGGAGGAAATGAACCGTGCTCTTGGTAAGCTTCCTCTAACTCCTCACGGAAATCCGGGTAGGAGGACGTGTAACATGGCTCGCACTGGACCATCGTACCCTGCATACAGTGTTGTGTAACGTATACGTTTTGTTTTGGGGTTTTTTTGTTTTGTTTTTGCTATACACGTTTATTGTGATTGAGCATCAGATCGCACAATCCGTACTATTAGAGCTTCTTTAGGTTACCGCACATGTTTTAAGGGTTCCGTTTGCACACCACTCACATCTGCCAACATGAGTGGTATAACCATGGATCCGAGTAGCTACATGGTAAAACCAATGGCCGCACTGATGGGGTTGGCAGCCGCACCTGACTTCATGACCAATCCATCCAAAACCTTTGCAGAGTACATAGCGTACGACAGGCAAATCAGACCCTCGGCTGTCAACAGTACAATCCGCGCGGAGTCTATCATAGAGATGGCTCCGGCTCACATGGGGGTTACCTTGTTCACGCAACAGAAAGATACAGCCCGTGTGCTTGCAGGGTTTGTGTACAAGATGCTTGTACCAGATGATGCCGTACCGACAGGAGCTAGATTCCGCAGATGCTACACCATCACCGATCAACGTGAAGCTCAGCAGGGTACGTACGACACGATTACCAATGGAGTGCAGACGAGAGAATATAGCCAGATATTCCAACACACATCCAAGGTGGTCACCATGCAATTTGGTAGTCTGCTTAGCTTCACGGTGCCCTCGGAAGCAGCCGACCTGATCAGAAGAGAGCTGGAAAGGGTCAGTACATCATGGGAGCTCACTAAGACAATCGAAGTGCTCAAATATTGTGCAGCTCAGCCCACTCTGACGGATAGAGTCATACAAAGAACCAAAACCTCGAGTCGAGCGGAGAAACTTGACGCTGTATTGATTATGGCTGAACTCATGTGTGGTATGGTCAACGTGCAACCTGATGCGTTTCTCTGTGCCCTGGAAAATGCTCGAAGGGTACTGGGGAGCACCAAGCCTGAGGTTATGATTGTTGGGGACACTCTGTTCTGTGTGATATCACGAAGAAGCTCACACAGTATACGATCCGATATTGTCAGCGAAGACACGACAATCAACCCAGAGTTCTCAGTGTACACCATGGCCAATGAGAATAGCCCAGCGGGGGGAGGTTACCACTTCACTATGCAGTCGGTCACTCAGCAGGGTCTGGGTAAAAGGGACCTATCGTTTACGGACGAGTCGTGTTTCCAGGGCCCCCCAAAGACTGTGAAGGTGAACTACATCAGAGTAGGAGGAGGGTCGATTGATAAGATTCCCATTGTACACGTGGACAGTGTGCAGATGGAGCACAGTAGCAACAGAGACACATCTACGGAATACAAGGCCTTTTGTAACTCAGAGGGGTTCAAGTGGGAATACTTCACAGTTGGCTGCATGGCACCTGCTCTGAATCAGGTCACCGCAGCACACGTGCTATCTACGACAGACTCCAAGGATATTGACTATAAGCAAGTGGCTCAGAGATCACCCGCGTCCTCATATGTGCATCAGTACGATGGAACGGTCACATGTGTCACCCTTCGGAGCCTACATGCAGTGGGCAACCCCAAGGATCTGTTCACACTGGAACGTAGGGCCAAACTGCAACATGAGGTGGATGCGCTGATGAGAGGGACTCCCAGTGCCATCCCTGTCAGGAAACTAGCCACCCTTGCACAGAGTAAGGACTGGTACTGTAAGATAAGGAACCCAGCGTCCGTGTTGGAATTTGACACCCGTAACATGGTGGTACCGTGCTTAGACGCTCGGAACGCCGAACGGTGGGTGGTTAGACCCCGCGTTGCGCTTTTTAACTCGTCGAGCATGAACAATATTGACAACGAAATTACGCAGATTGGCAGTGAGTTACTCACACACTTTGGAGACACTGACCACGCACGGAAACTGGGGGAGAATTTGGTGTTTCTCGAGCAGGCGCTCCATTATGAACAGGGTGTGGCGTCAATGCTTGACATGAGAGACCGCATCCTGGGAGGAGAGCATTGTTCCACGTTGGATAATGCCGATTGGACCAAGGGAAGGTTATTTTGGTCGTGGCTTACCGATCCAATATGCGCGGTACACATACGTAGTGTTCTTGCAGCTAAGGAGACCGCAGGAACAATCACAGCCCAGGAACGCACTGTATTGGTACAAGTGGAGGGACTGATGAACAGTCTGATAGGGCTGTTCAAGGGTATAGTTGGGACGAGGACGAACTCTGTGATAGCCTCGATGCCAGCATTTGTAGCACAGCCACCGGGTGCGCAGCCTGTTACAGACTACGGCTACCCAACCTCCTTCACCCTGGACGAGGTGGACTACTGTAATCTCATGTACTGGATCATCCTCCCTGCCCTGGGAGCCCGAGTATATCGGGTTAGGGGTGATGAGCATGCCGTAAGTGACAGTCGCATTCTATACAGAGCTCAGGACCGCAACCTGACCGACGAGTTACAATTGTCCAATTCGACAGCTCTCACGGTGAGACGTCTTCCCGGAGCCTGTGTCTTCTCTAAGGTAGCGGTTCGCAGTGCAACCGACGTAAGTGAGTTGTTTGAGCCTACTGCAATGAAACACGCCGCCTTCAACGACGCCGGTTTCAGTTCAACATCCGTAGTTACCTACATGTGGGCGATCAGATTGCAGAAACTGGCATCTACTGGTAACAATCTGGCAAAGGTGTTGATGGGGATACATTATAGCACTCTCTTGACGCATAGTGTTATACAGGACCACTATGATACCACGTACTACTCTGGCATGGCATACCTACTGTTCAGAGGCGTGCGCTTCACGGGATGTGGAATCTCCCTCATGCAACAGAATCTGCACTATACACACTGGGCACCCGAATCGTATGCAAACCGACTGCTCATAATACACATCAGGTACACACGGCTAACCAATACTGTGAGTCTGTTGTGATACCAGAGACATTAGAGTCACCTGGGGTATACATTCCCAATCTATACATGAAAGATGTACGTGGAGGGGATGTGCACGTAGACACTGACAGCCCCTTTGACATGGTGGTCGCAGATGCATTTAACGGGTTCTGTCCAGAGTCTGACAGTGCTAGTGGCTACCGTCGACCATACATCTTTACAACTGGCCGATCGGAAAGACTCAACGGTTCCGTCACCCCAGATCCTTTGATGAGAGTCGAAGCATATACCTGTATGCCAACTCTGCTCCATCCCTTCAGCTCTGTACTCAGCGGGGCTAGAAATAGGTCCAGCTGAAGATGGCGTAATGAGGAAAGTAATCTCAAGCTCTTCTGTAATACCCTCCACAGGAAGCTCATGTGTGTCACCGATACAACTCGGGAAACGCTGGTTGACAGGCTTGCACCTAGAATAAGTGGAACGGGCATATTTGCGTGCAATCCAATCCATACAACCACACGCCTAATCAATCCCATCTTCAACAGAATATTCGAGAGCACCCGGTACTCCCGGTACCTGCAGTGCTAGGATTGCCATGTAGCCGATGCACTTGGGTATGTCATTGACACTGGGCACCAGCGGCACAATGGACAGTGGACTGGCTCATGTTATAACCCGCGGGTTATACACCTTGACCGATATTATGCTGTCCTGCGGGGTAAACTTTTTCACCTCTCTCTACATGCACCCCATGGAACAAGAGAACAACCTGACCCTACTCAGGAAATGAGAAGAGGCGGAAATGGACACTGCAATAAACACTGTTTCGAGATCCATAGATAGTTTAGATGCCACCATAACTTTAATCAAGGACTCCATGATTAGAACCGTAGGAGAACCTGATGAGCATGGCAAATTAAAAGAAGAACTGGCATCTACTCAGAACCAGAGAGCTGGCCTGCGTTATCTTTTGGGCGCACTCAGGGGGCAACTTGATGTGCATAGGTTGATTGGAGCAGTGAAGATTCTGGCGGACAACGTGGGACTACAACTTAATGTATCTGCTTACATAAACAGGCAGGTGTTAAATCTGGCTGTACAAAGAGATCTGGATGACCTGAGGGAGCCTGTCACTAAAGTCAGTGTCGAGGACGTGTATCGAACCTACAATATAAATGAAACAGTTGATAATGTTGTGTAACGCATGTTCTATTGTAGTACCTTGTATAAATAAATGATATGTACGTACATACACACAGCAAGGGCGTCTGTCCTATGTTACTAATATTGCATATAGATAGCACGACTACCTACCCTGCAGTAACACCACATTGGGTTTATACATATGCTGTATATCTATATATATAAAACACAATCGGTGGGACGGGGATACACTTTTTATTGTTGCCATTATATGTTGACAGTACACAAGGAATTGCAAAGGAATGATAGTCATCTCGAGATTGTATATATAAAGACATGTCATAAGGGAAAGGCATAATATACAAATGACAATATCGAAATGGCATAATAGTAGAAATGGCATACTAGTAAAACAAAAGGTATAATAGTAGAAATGGCATAATAGTAAAACAAAAGGCATAATAGTAGAAATAGAATAATAGTACAAAAAAAGGCATAATATAAAACCACCACATACGGCTATGTTCTATAGCTATCTAGATGTCTATATATCTGTATATTCTTCAGCATATATCTATATCTATAGATATAGATAGATAGATAGATAGATAGATAGATAGATAGATATAGTATAACAGGTTCCAGTAATGTAAAAGGATTGTGTTTTCACATAGCTTCGACAGCACGTAAAGATAGCTGTAATACTCACTCGGGAGGTAGGATTGTGTTTTCACATAGGACCCTTCGACAGCACTTAAAGATAGCTGTAATACTTGAGAGGTAGGATTGTCTTTTCACATCGGACCCTTAGACAGCACTTAAAGATAGCTGTAATGCTTGAGAGGTAGGATTGTCTTTTCACATAGGACCCTTAGACAGCACTTAAAGATAGCTGTAATACTTGAGAGGTAGGATTGTCCTTTCACATAGGACCCTTAGACAGCACTTCCGTATAGTACAACTCGGAGGTAGTGTAAACACGTGTAAGGCCAGTACAGGCAAGTCCTTCATTGTAATAGTGGTTGAACTCTTCAACAATATTGATACTATTCCCTGAGTCATTGCCTGGACACGTGAACATAACATTTGCATGTTTGCGGCAAAATGTGTACTGCATATCACTCTTGGCTCGCTGGTGAGGTTGTGGAAGGGCGACAGAGTCCATCCCACTCCTGGAGGCCAGCAAAGCTATAATGTGGACCACACTTGAACCCTCAGACGGTTTACAGTCCAATACTACATGCAGCTGCCTGCCCGGGGGTGATGCATACTGAGCAGTAAACCATCTAGAGAGATAGAACACCATGCTCTTGAATTCTATGCTTGTGGTAATGCTTCTCAGTGCAGTGTCAACAAGAGTAAACACTTTAGGCTGTCCTCGTTTGGGAACCGATGTGCACCACATAGCCAAGACGATCTGCTTCTTTAACACAAAGCAACACCAGTGAAATCTGTATGAGCCGAGACAGACGTTGAACAACTTTGGCAGGTGATCATCATGGCCGACCAGCTTCTCCGTGGCAGGATGATGTTTCGTTCCCACCACAATGTGATCCCAGAAGCCTTGCACGTGTGGGATGCACACATATCTGTAGGCGACGTCCTCTGGGAGTGCTTCGTTCAGCCAGTACTTGAAGCACATAGTGTCACCCGTGGTGATAAGCCGATTGAAGGCTATAAAGATGGAAAACAAACAATGGTCAGTGTCATGTGTTATTCCAGATTTGTGTACGCGAAACCATAGCACAACACACCTACCATCTTGTAGTTTGGCAATATCAGGAGGCTGCTCCGCTTGTGTCAGGGCCTGCACATGAATGTTTACATCCCGCTCAGTCTTATATGCGTCACTGTCAACACGATCTAGATCCCACTGTCCTTCGTTCATTAGAACAAGGCAACTTGCTAGGCTGTTAGCCGTGCTATTGATAGCACCGTGTGTGGACCGTATCTTGTGTGCACTACATCCACTTTGATCTCTGTAGCAGAGTGTACACAACACACACCCACATATACATTGAACTGGTCTGTTGAGTTGAATCAGGTACTCGCGACAAATCTGTTGAAGGTGACACCACATGTGGAGCATAGAATCGCTCGTTTCACTATAGCCATAAGTGTATCACCGGTGATTACAGTGGCACCTGTATTGTTGGTGACATCGGGGCCATGGTCATATGTGCCACACATCTCTACCTGTGGTGGGGTGAGGAATAAAGGTTGTTGGGGTACGGTTACCCCTAACGTGTTAGGCCGCTCACATGTATCACTCAACAGGGTCGGCATTCCAGCTTGAGGGGGTGGCGGATTGGGTTGTAGGAACACAGCTGACAAGCCGTATCGATCACATTGTAGCTCTGGGGGCGGTGCAGATGGCTTACATTGGGGCTCACACGTATCGAAGGATTCTATAATGCTCGGGTACAGATGTGTAATGACCTCCGACTCTGTCATGGGGGTGTCAGGTGTATCAGTTGGGACTACGTGTATAAAATTGGAATCTGACCTGATTGCTGTAGTCGCTACAGGAGGTTCACTACAATTAATAATCCACTCAGTTGCTAGCTGTGGTTCCCCAACAGATAGGTTGGGGACCGCATAGCTGTCTTGGATTGTGTTTACATATCCAATGTCCTCTATCACATCACTGAGGTCCTCATCTAGTACATTCCTCATGTGCTCAGTTACATTACCGATGACTTGCAGACTGCCACCACCCGCCTGTAACCTGTAAGGAAAGTAAGAACATTAGGTGTTACAATGTCGCCTTTTGGTAATAGGCAGTGTTAATGGACACGATGGCCAAATACTTAAATGTCACATATGATGGGCTGTGTGATATTGGACTCTGGAGTGATCACAGGAACGACTTCGGAGTCTGTTACCGCTGTAGGTGCAGAGGAGACTTCACTTGTAACATCTGTACCAGGGTTGGACTGTTGAGGTTTGGCAGATGTGTGTGCATCATCATTGTCGGTTATAGGCCGATCAACAGCTGCGACGAATGAGACAACCTCTGTCACTGAGCTGCCACAGGCCGCCCCTGTGACCAGCCTCTCTATGCAGCGGGTACCTTCCGTTATTGCACAGCCCGTATTATCGTCCTCAGCTACAGTGAGCACCTTGTCCGTTTCCACAGTGACCGCAGACTCACGTTGGTGGGCACAGTGAGCAGGGACCGGTCCGGTTCATGGTCGCACCCTGTCCCACCAGAGCTCTGGTTATGTGTAGACGGTGTGGCTGTATGACACGTTGCCTCCCTAGGGGATGGGGCCGCAGCAGCAGCAGCAGCAGCAGCAGCATCTGCATCAGGGTAACGGGGGTTCCTGTTGGCGCTATCTCTGCTGTGACTACTACTGCTACTGCTGCTGCTGTTATTGCTGCTAGAGCTGTTACTGCTGCTAGAGCTGCTGTCACTTTCGTCACCGCTGTCAGTGTCTCTGGAGCACACCGCCTCCACTTCACTTACGGGTTCCAGGTGCCTGTACAGATTATTCATAGTATTCTGCGGCCTAGCACATTTCCAGGACCTCTTGGCGGGATGTGCACGTAAAGTCTTTGCACGCTCACCTTGACGCTCTGGTACCTTGGGTATTTGAGCCACCCTTGTATGCGTCTTGGGATTGACGCACATTGTCTCACCAGCGGTACTGGTGGATGGCCGCAGAGCCTCGGGCATCCGACCAGCAGTACTGGCAGTACTGGTGGATGGACGCAGAGCCTCGGTCATCCGAGCAGCAGTACTGGTGGATGGACGCAGAGCCCCGGTCATCCGGCTACAGAAGGTTGCCTCAGACCTTGACTGATATACCTTGCCAGTAGGACCATGCACCCTCTTGCGGTCCTCAGAGTGTAGTATACGGTTAGTGGGGTTTTCATATTTACCCCCCACAGTGCGGTTGTCTCTACATCTGTCAATCCGGCGTTGTTTGTTGACAGGTCGACCACTGTCAGGTGGGTTGAGCCACCGTGGAGGAATATCACGTTTCACCTGTGTCCCACATGTGACTGTAGACGGTCCTCTAATGTAGCCATCTGCCAGATGAGGCTGACCTGAGTTGGATCTGGGCACATCTACCCTTGTCCCATTAAAAACATGGGAGCGTCTTGGGTAAACATGCATTTTATGTTCCGTGTGGTTGTCCCTTCCAGTGTTCATGTTCCGTCTCGTGTGGATGTCCCGTCCATACATACGATGATCCTGAGCCTCTGGTTCTTCATACAGCCTCCTATTAGCACACACTTCATAGGATCGTCTTTGTTGAATATTGCGCAAGGGCGAAGGTGTACGATCCCTCACATCCGCATATTCATTTCGTCTCGTGTCAACATCATGGTAGTTGTATGCATTGTTATCCATGGTGTAGTTAGAATAATATCTACGCTCCATTGCGGCAGTCCCGGGACTATGTAGGTCTACTGTTGTACAGCCATCTTACACACAAGAGTAGCTCCCCCCCCCCCAACCCCTAAAACCACACTGTCATTCTACGAACTCCCCAGATGTATCATCACAACACACTTTGTACACTGTATCACCTTCCACCAACCTGAGTTGAGATGATATAACCCCACATAACCCACTCTAATTGGCTGCTGCGTACTCAAACCTCCGATCGGATGGGAATGTCCAACGGGTAGTTCGAAAAGTCCAACCGAGAGTTCAAAATCTCCGATCGGCTGTGATGTCCAACGGGTAGTTCGAGACGTCCAACTGAGAGTTCAAAATCTCCGATCGGCTGCGATGTCCAACTGGTAGTTCACCAGCAACGTCTCTAACATCCAGCAGCCTGTGTAAAATGATATGTCAACATCAACGTCTCAGATATCCAACAGTCTAATCAAACCAATGATTACACACACACACACAGACACACACATACATACCCTTGCAGCTATGTGACCAGATGGACATCCGAAGAGTGACAAAGTCTCCAGTGAGCACTACGTTGGAACTGTCACATTTATATACATACACACAGGCACACACAGGCACACACACGCACACACACACACACACCAGACCATGTGTTAAGTACTGGGTGAGTCCCAAAGTATGCACCCTACAATTTCAAGTTAGACAAAGATGAATGGTCGCTAATGTTGGCCCAGCATTGAACCGTGTGGTCAGTACTAAATGAGGTACACGGTATTGCACTTTACATTCTACGTTGGACAAATGAGCACAGCTGTCTCACACACACACACACACACACACACACACACACGC